GCAACATTATCGCAGATCTGATTCAACGACCAACAATACAACATCAGTCATGATTTGTTTAAAGTTCAACGAATGTTCCTTACTGAGATTTCCAAGGTTTATTTTTTTACGATATCTATGATCAGCTTTTTCCTGATACATTTATATAAAAATTACCCTATGAGTGAATATGCTGTTTACAGCCATCTAAGGTCGGAGCAACGGTTTTCTTACGATCACCGAAGTTAACCAACGTCGATCCTGACCAGTACCTCGATGAGTGACCGTGTGGGAATTACCAGATACCGTATTCATTTTTGTGTGGATTGCTGTATTCAACAATGTTTTCGAATTAAACCAACGTCAATCGTTATCCTCTTTCTTTTAAATTCATTTTCTTTTTTTGTTGTCTCTATCAATAATATTTTTGGCCACATTCGGTAAGCCCCTGTGTTTTAAATTATTTGCCTTATTCGGACTATTGTCCTCATCTTTGACGCCATATTTATTTTAACGTTTGGGCGGTGGTAGGAATTTCGAACTGAACCCTTTATTTCGCTCACTGGGGTAGACTGTTCTAGTTCCACGTGCCATGTCTAATGGATGTCAGTTATCAGTTATCTCCTGTTAATTTCCCTCTGAAAGTTCTCCCCTGACTTGACCGGGTATTGAACTCACACTCCTTGGGTCCTGGGACTGGATCTAACCAACGCCTTTATCCACTGTTCAAATACAGTATGGGATCTCTAATAACAAAAGTGATAGAAACAAAAAGAAAAAGAAGCAAAATGAAATTGGATGGATTATATAAACAAAAAGAAATTAAGTTCCCAGAATCTGTAGCCATTTCTTTCTGCGGTAGACCAGTTGTCGTACAAGACTACAGAAGGCGGTATGTGCTGAAATTTACCCATAGCTTGGGGTGGGGAGAAGAAGAGCATTCATACTTTCCCAAGTGTATTAGCACGTAAGTGATGTAATGGCTTTGATTGAAATTCGAACTCGGACTGTTCTCCTATTAACCCATAGCTTGGTGGAGAAGAAGTGACTAAAAATTATCTGAGTGTGCAATTTTTATATATTTATATATTGCCCTTGAGCAATTTTACCTATAAATATTGCATAACTCATATTTTATCATCTATATACATATATATCACAAACACGTATTTTTAATCGTACCTGTAACTATAAATTTTATCATATATATATAACAATCATGTATTCCGTGGTCCATCAGCCACTGTAGAAGTTGTGTCGATCAACTGTCTCTAGCCGGCAAGGTAGAGAACCCAGTCTGACCTGTTTATATGGAAGAAAAGGATTCATACCAACGGTATTAGAACGTAAATGAATCTGACTAGAATTCGAACTCGTCTCTCCGATTCCTCAGTCCGAGTCGATATCCATTACAGTATAGGATATCTAATAACAAAAGTGATAGAAACAAAAAGATAAAGAAGCAAAATGAAATCGAATAGATTATATACACAAAAAGAAATTAAGTTCCCAGAATCTGTATTAGGCGATCATGTATCTGACGCGTAGCCATTTCTTTCTGCGGTAAACCAGTTGTCATACAAGACTAAGAACATGGTCTATTTTGCTATTTACACACAGCTCGGGATTCATACTTTCCCAATGTTAACAGCACGTAAATGAATGAAATGGATTTAACTGGAATTAGAACTCGGCTCTTCGATTCTTCAAACCGAGCCGCTATCCCCTACTCAACTTTTTCTTAAATATTAAAGTGACTCCAACTGCACTTTTTCTTAAATTGGATGAATTAATAATTTGACTACTAAAAGAGAGAGAGAGAGAGACAGACAGACAGGCAGAGTTTAACTATAACGATGAAGTAATAATCTGACACATAATCGCCATCTGCCGAAAAATTCATATGTCAAATCGGCTGGGCCGAATCAGCGACGCCGAGTGGGCTACGTCGGGACGACTGGAAATCGAACTCGGCTCTCCGATTCCTCAATCCGAGCCGCTATCCATTACAGTATGGGATATCTAATAACAAAAGTGATTTGAAACACACAAAAAAAGCAAAAGCAAAATGAAATCGGATAGATTATATACACAAAAAGGAATTAAGTTCCCAGAATCTGTATTAGGCGATCCTGTATTTGAGGCGTCAGATTTTTTTTCCGCTGTAGCCATTTTTTTCTGCAGTAGACAAGTTGTCATACAAGGCTATAGAACACGGTATGTCCTGGTATTTACCCATAGCTAAGGAGAGAAGAAGAGCATCCATACCTTTCCCAAGGTATGGATGCCCATATAAGTGAATGTAATGGATTCGACTGGAATTTGAACATATTTATAGTGTAATTACCAACAATACATATTTAGAATCAAATTATCAATATATTTTATAGCAAAATAACCAACAATACATTTTTATTGATAAAAACAACGATGAGCAAAGTAGTCTGAATATAAATACTGTAAGTAACACCTCATTCCAAATATTAAGTTAGGAGGTAATTAGGTGATAATAATAATAATAATAATAATAATAATAATAATGAGGACAATAGACTGATTCCGAATATAAATAGTGTAAATAATAACTTGTCATCCCAGAAATTAGGAGAGAAATAAATATTTTTGTTCAGCCGATACAAATCGCAAGTGTTACTCTTGGTAAAGGATCATTAAAGGAAGTTGATATAAGAGCGGACAAGGAAGGAGTTAAGACGTTAATGTCATTCGCTAGATTAACGGCTGCCACGAGACATGAAGGGATTAACCACGTAGTGATCGGAAATGAAGCTGTTTGTGTTGAACCCCGAACTTACCAATCGAATATGAAAGGAATGAAGAGATGTCGAACCTGTGTTTGTGTCATGGCGGGCCCTTGCTGTGATCAAAGAAATGTATGGCCTTTGGATATTCGCCAGAGAAATAGCGTTAAGTCTAGGGAGCGGCTGGCAGCATTTAGTATGCAGGAATAATTTGCAAGCTCGGAAACAATCACCGAGTAAGCATATATAAATATGCGTCTAGCATGAAACAGCCTGAGTGTTGACTTCAATTCACTTTCATATTTATATTTACATACGCTCTATCTCTGATATTGAGCACTTCATCCCACAAATATAGCAGAACTTAAAACTATATTTCTTCATATATATATATATATATATATATATATATATATATATATATATATTCATTCTGTTTTTATTCGAAGTATTTCTTTTATCATGAACGTTATTTATAAAGGTTACACGTATTTGAGTTTTATCATGTTTTTTTAAAATCTTATGTCATTTTTACCGAATTCTACACACACACACACAGACACACACACATACAGACACACACACACACACACACACACACACACATATATATATATATATATATATATAGATATATATATATATATATATATATATATATATATATATATATATATATATACGTATATTACCCTGAAAAACATATAAAATCGCTACAAATTTGCAGACGTGTTTTAATGCATCTCAATGCATCTCATCCGGTGATTGTAAATTACTGTCGATTGAACGATTTATTTAGATTTGAAAACAAAATATACATCTTTTTTCGGAAGAAAAAAAATATGGGGTCATACGGTTTAAGGGCTTTACTCTGATCAACCAATCGAATATGACCGACATTAAATTCAAACTAAGCGAAGAAGAAAAGAATAAAAATTATATTTTATAAATGGCTCATGACCCGTAGATTGGCAGCTAACGGCAGTCAGATAAAAACTTAAAGCTAATATATCTTGTTACATAAAATATACAAAAGCATTCAATGCAGTTTCCTTAGAAATAAATGCTGTTAGAGGGGTAATTTAACAAAAGGCCAAACATGTTATATGCTTTGTGAAAATCCTACATAATAATGTAGCTGTTTAATATCCTACATAGTAATATAGTTGTTAAATAAATGGTTTCTTCATGAAACGAGTAAATAATTTAAACGTATAGAATTATTTTGTAAATTAGTATGCAACCGTTAAATAAAGATCCGTCATATATGGTGTTAAGATCATTAACAATTAATGTAAAATGTCAGAAATACCAACTAAATAACAATACATCTGTACAAGTTGTTACTAATACTACGAGGAAATTTACATCAAATCCAGAATAATCTTACAAATAGAAATATAAGGCATATATAGGGCAACGTAGTACAACTAAAATATATGAAAAAGCATAATCAAATACCAAAGTTTAACTAAGTTAAAGTAAACGGTAAACGATGCTTACAATTTACACTTAATTCACTTCTCTGATTTTACTTTGAATTTTAGTCAAATCTCTCATGATTTCGAGTTTTTCATGTAAACACAGAAAACAGCGATTTTACATGTTTTCTGTGTGATATCCAAAAGTAAAGATATTGCACTATTCTCTGTCTCGAGAAAGAAATAAAATAGAAAAATAAATAAATCTCCATAGACACGTAAACCAGACTAGGCGAAAACATATTCCGTTTCAAATTTAGGCACCCCAACCTTACCCTGACTTGACATCTATGAATGTAACTCTATACTGATACAAATTATTAACACACAACACCCCTTCCTATTTAAACAATCGCTCTGGCCGTTACCATGGAAATTTTGATTTCAATAATGAATATGCTGTTAAAACAGGTAAATTTCAGAAATAAGTTATTCCAAAGAAAATTTCGCTTGAAGATGGAACAAAGCTTCAATTCAAATAATTATATTGAAATTTTCGGCTCTTGTGTTGAAACAAGGGACCTCTTATGTAGCGTGTTGGAATCATATTTTAAATAAATAATTATATATACATATATATACATATATATATATATATATATATATATATATATGTATTTATATATATATATATATATATATATCCAATTAATTTAATTTTAACATAACTTGTAAACCCTCTTCAGAGTTTACATGTATTTCAGTTGTTATCAACGTATTTTATATATCATTTTTCTTTCTTGTTACTTTTTTGGGGTATTTTACGTCTCTTTTCTAATGAATGTTATCTCTCTCGATCTTTTCACTTTTTCTTTTCTTTGACTTGACCTGTTTTCTGTCTCTCTTCAAAATCATTATTTCTGTTTCTCTCTTCCTTTTGTTTTTTTCTCCTTTTTTCATCCCTTTCTCTCTTTTTCTTTCTCACCACAGCTTTCTCTCTATTTCTTTTCTTTTATTCCCTCTGCCTTCTCTTTTTCTTTTTCTCTTTCTTTGTTTATATGCTTCGACTGTTTTCTGTTTCCTTCGTTTTTATTTCCTCTCCGGTTTCTTCTACTTACCTTTCTCTTTTCTTTCTCTTCGCTTTTTCCTGTCTCTTTTCTAATAACTTCTTTCTCGCTCTTCTTTTTTTTTCTTTTTCTTTTCTAGTTTCTCCCTTATCTCTTTTTATTCTTTCCTTCTTTGTTTTTTTCTTTTATTTTTCATCCTCTTAACTTTTAGTTCCTTTTTCTAACCTATTTCTTTTTTTTATATTTTAATCATTTCTCTTTCTTTTTTTCTTCTATTTCTTGTTTTTTTCTTCTCTTTCATTTCTCATACATTTTCTTCTACCTCCTCCTCTTTTCTTTTCTTTTATTTATTTGTTTCTTTATCGTTTTCCTTGTCCTTATTTTCTTTCTTTATTTTCTCTCTTGCTCAGTCTGTTACTCCGTCTTTGTCTACATATACACTTTTTGCTTTTCTATGTTTCGCCATGTTTTTTTTCATTCTTCTTTTCCTGTTATCTTTTCACCTGTTCGTTCCTTTGCCACAACAAAGGTTGTCAAAATGCTTGTATTCGATAGACTGGTTACAGCGGAAGTCGGATACAATCTGTAATCATGGCTGCTGTCTTTGCGTTCCATCGAAAATAGAAGGAAGACGAGATTCGAAAATGATCTGCTTGTCAGAATTTCAAGAATTCTTGCGGTCGCCTCTAAAAGAAATTTGCATACGTTCATCAATGCGATGAAGCATTACGCGATTGGTATAGAAAGAAATTATGATCCTAGCTGGAGTGACAAAGAAGTAATTTAAAAACAAACCGAGAAAAAAAAGACGGGCGGGGGGGAAAAGAAGAACGTATTAGAATGAATATCAGAGAATAAAATCAGATTTGGAAGACGAATCATAAAAGACATGAAACCAAAAAGAAACAGGTAGAGGTGAGGAAAGTTATGGGTTAACGAGATATTTCCTTCCCTTCACAATTAGGAGACAATAAGAAGCAAATAAAATTAAAGCATTTTAGAACCTTAAATAAAATGATATAGCCAAAGATAAACACACTCTGAGAATCATTTAAAAGAAATTAATAACAGAACAGGTTTTGACGTGAAGCAATATTTCAAATGCTGATATCACAAGCAATAAATACTGTTGTACATTCACATCTGAGCGGCTATCCGATTCCTGGGTGTAACGATAAACTACATCCGGCAGCAAAGCCTCTAATCGGAAAGTTTTTAGGAGCGTAGAACGAACTCTTGATTGCTGTTGTTCTACCTGACCCGAGGTGGTAACACCTGTTAATGCTCCAGCTATGGGCAAATAGTTAACACCAAAACTGAGGTCAAACAACTAGGAACGTATAAAAATGGATTTTTATAGTGAAAATTACCAGCAATACACTTCTGAAAAAAACAAAAAAAACAATTACCAGCAATACAGCTTTGAAAAACAAATAAATATTACCAACAATATATTTTAAATATTAACTCGAGAAAAAAGAACTTCTTTACAAAAAATACATCTATGAAACCCGATTTCCTACAAACTGATTTATTACAAGGAATACTTATTCTATTGATACGAACCTATCCAAAAAATGTTAAATCGGCATTAAATGACCCATTGATGTTGATATGCCGTAAAACAAAATAAACAAAACCAAACCAATCTGCGGTTATCCGATAGTTGGATAAAAAGCAAACATTAATAAATATCAGTGAATAATATCCGGATATTTTGATTAGGATAAGTTGCTTAATTAAACAACACTTGAATCATTTAAAGTCGAATAGAGAAAAAAATCAAGCAAGGCAATAAAGCCACTAAGAAGTGCTTATTCAATGTGAAAGTATGAGAAAAAAGAAAACTATTATCAAGGAACGAGAACGATAAAAGAACACATTTGCCTTCGTACAATTGATAGTTCATTCATCCTCCTTTCCATGACTTTCTTATTGTTAATCATTTTGCCCCAAGTAAGACAAAAAATACAATAAACTTTTAGATATATAAGATAGACTTTGGAGAAAAATAATCTAGCAGGACACAGTGAACTAACCTTCCTAGCAGCTGACCTAGCAATGGATTCAATATAGCCTTTCCATTCCATGTCAACCAAGAATATTTACCCAAAAAGGTTCAATAAATCACTCTCATGATAGTCAGCATCTGGCATACTGATGAAAGACAGAGAAGGTTCTCAAGGATCCTTAATGGAGATCAGCATAGTTTTGTAAGCTTTAAAATTAACAAGACATCCTTTGCACCAGTTAACAACAGACTGAAAGTCATTTATAGCTATCTGTCTGTCTGACTCTCTCTCTCTCTCTTGGAAGTTAATGATGGAAAGGAGAAATGTTCTTTGAGTTGATTAAAATAGAGCAGTTTTGTTTTGAAGGCATTAAAATTGACAAGGCATCCATTGCAGCAGTTAACAACAGACTGAAGGTCATTTATATCAATTTATAGCTATCTATCTGTCTGTCTGTCTGTCTCTCTCAATCTCTCTCAATCTCTCTCAATCTCTCTCTCTCTCTCTCTCTCTCTTGGAAGTTAATGATGGAAAGGAGAAATGTTCGTTTAGATGATTAGAATAGAGTAGTTTTGTTTTGAATGCATTAAAATTGACAAGCCATTTCTTGCTACAGTTAACAATGGACAGAAGGTGGGATTGAAATCAGCCATCGATTTGAAATCATCGAACCACTTAGATTGACCATTAAGTCATAAGTGATAACAGCATAAATAAATAAAAAAAGTTTGAAAAAGATGCCTTCAGGAAGGCCCTTGATGAAAATTAAAGACAATATAGTTCCCAGTTCATAATCGAGACCTAGCCCTAATCCTACTCCCCTAACAGGACGTTGAACCATACCTTATTAACTTGCCTTGAGAGGAATTTGAAAACCGCCAATATCACCCGTAAGAGATTCAAATACCCGTGTTTTTTGAGAAGTGTGTTTTTATGAATGGCAGAATGTTTTGTGTGAAAATTTTTACATTTTTCATAGCCTTTTATGCTCAAGTGGTTGACCGACAACTTATTTGTCGTGGATTCGTTTTTCGAATTCTTGGAGAAGGGTTTCATATATACTAGCCGATGAGAGACGATTTCTTGAAGGTCTTGTGAAAACTTGAAATGAGCCAATATGACGTCCGTTTTTCAATAATAATAATAAAAAAATCTGCTATTAGCGGATGAAGGTAGATAGAAATAATGAACCGTTGTCGAAAAAGCTATTAACGGGAAGATGATATTATTGGCGCCCGTGCTTTAAAAGGATGGGTCAGGCTGAGCGGGTCACGATCAGAAGGCATTTGCACAGCATGGGAACAAGTCAGGTCGCCAATATCAAAGAAGGCACTAGTTACCATCCGGTTGAGAAGAGACCAAACGTTTAAGTGAAAATTCTTCTGTTGTTGGACAGCCTAAAACGAAAAGATTTCGAAGAAATTTTCAAGCAAGAATTGTATACATTTAAAAAGGAACCCTTTTCAAAATAACTGCTATGAAATGTGTTCCTTCTCAAATGGAGTTAAACCTTTGTTTTTACTGTATTTTTTTTATTGTTTCCTCTTTTTGTCATTTACAAAATCCTTGTTTATTCTTCCGCTTTAATTTTTCACTTTTCGTTGGTAACCCGTGAAATTGTTATTCTGTCTTTGAGGCGCACAGAAGAACATTTTGGCGCAAACTTGTACCTTTTTTCGTAATTTCGTAAACTGTAAATAAATGGCTTTTCCATTTGAAATTTTACGCAGTGGTTGTCTTGATTTAACATTTTGCGTTTTGCTTTTTCCTACTAGACCAGGATTTTGTGTCTAGCACAAATACTTGGATTTGGTGGAAATTTAAATTTTTTTATATGTAATCACAAACATTTAAATACCCTTCGGGGGTGGGTAGGAATCTACATCTACTCTTCCAGCTGTGAGTTAATTAGAACTACGTATATCAGTAAATTGTTAGTATCTAAAAAAAAAACTTATACTCTAAAGATATTTTTTGGCTTTAAATTACCTGCAAAAGGGTTGATATACCGTTAAGAAATGAAAAATCATCATTAATGCATTACAGCGGTTTCTTTCTGATTCTGTGTATATGTTTTCATTTTCTATGGAAATTTCTTTGAGACTTGCATGTTGCTTCCTTGCCATTTCCAAGGTTTTCTTAGTATTCTTCTGTTGAACCATGTTTCTGTTGACTCTAGTTTTATCATCAATCGTGAAACTATTGTCTAGCATTCACGGCCATAAAGAAGGACGGATATTACATAGCTGTCTTGCAATCTTTTGCGTGTTTCTAGCAAAAACTTTCTGCTCTTTATTAAATATTAAATTATCACCAAAACGTTCTTACCGATTAAATAAAAGTCTAGCTTTAAATAATCTGATAAACTCTAAAAACAAATCATTCAATAAATCAATTTACAGCTAGCTGAGATTATATCAACGCTAGGAAAATCCAGTAGGCGTGAATATATATATATATATATATATATATATATATATACAGGATGTATCAAAAGTACATTTACAAATTTTAATTGTGCGTTCCTGTTACCAAAATAAGGACAGAAGATATGTCCCAAAATCTTCATTTTGGGGTTATAAAGTTTAAAGAAAGTTTACGGCCGATGGCGCTGTTTTGCTGCGTATACAAGGTTAGATTTGTTATTCGTGTACGTTTGTGGTGAGTATGTTTTCAATATTTAACATGGTTAGTGTAGGGTTAACAGAAAAGGTTTCTTTTAAAAATGGCAGGAAATTCATATCGTGAGCAGGTAGATATGATTTTTGCATACGGCCGCGCGAATAGTAATGAGCGCGAGACTGCGCAGCTGTAACAGGTTATGTTTCCAGACCGAAGGCAAAGGATCCGTGGCAATATTTGTAAACATAGTTTTGTATTGCATCTTGGATTATACATTTAAAAGGGTCTACCGTAAACTTTAAACTTAATAACTCAAAAACGAAGGATTTGCTGACATATATTTATGAGGACTTTTGTCCTTGTTTTGGTTTGAGAAACCCGCCCCCAAACTTTGTAAAAGTATTCTTGATACACCATATATATATATATATATATATATATATATATATATATATGTTGTGTGTGTGTGTGTGTGTGTGTGTGTGTGTGTGTGTGTGCGATATATAGAAAATAGGAAAGAACTGCTTACTTTATACATATTTTATATAGAAAATAGGAAAGAAAAGCTTACTTTAATTCAATTTATTTCAAATAATTATATTGAAGTTTTCGGCTCTTGTTTTGAAACATGAGACCTCTTATGTCGCGTTGGAATCATATATTTAAATAAATAATTATATATATATATATATATATATATATATATGTGTGTGTGTGTGTGTGTGTGTGTGTGTGTGTGGTATAGCTATATATATATATATATATATATATATATATATATCAAAATACTGTTACAAATTTTGGGGTTGAATTCATCACACCAAACCATAGAACAAAAGTCCGCATAAATGTATGTCTGCAAATCCTTCATTTTTAAGTTATTAAGTTGAACGAAAATTTGTGGTAGATAGCTACATGTTGCCGTGTCGACTAGTTTACATTTGTTATACGTGTATATGGATGGCTCGTCTGTCTTCAAGCTTTAACATTTGTAGTAGTAAGCTAACTGACAAGTGCACCGTTTAACAATGGCAAAATATTCAAAGTAGAACTATTATTGCATCATATCCTGGATTGTACATTTAACAGCAACTACCGTAAACTTTAAACTGAATAACTCAAAAACGAAGGCTTTGCTGATATATATTTATATGGACTTTTGTCCTTGTTTTGGTTTGAGGAACCCGCCCCCAAACTTTGTAAAATTATTTTGATACACCTTATATATATATATATATATATATATATATATATATATATATATATATATATATATATTATTTTACCTCAAACAAGGCGGGGATACCGCTAGTGAACGGGGAGGGAAAGTGAGAAGAGAAGACTGAAAATAGGGACGAACAGGCTTCAAGAAGACAGAAGATGGCTATTAAATTACGTTTAAATTTTTGACGGTTATAATTATCAGAGAATCAGGAAAACAGAAGTGAACTGCAGCAGTCAGACGTGCAAAAAAAGAAACTTTTTAGAAAAGCGACAATTGCATCTACCTGATATAATGTGTAATCAATAGTATACTTATTTTATAGAAAATTACGTTGACTTTAATGTGTTTGACAGTAGACTTGAGGAATATTAAATGTTTGCTAAGTTATAGCGATACAATATGCAGTACCTATAGGTTTGTCTTGTAGGTTGTTTTTTATATAATGCATATAAAAGATATTACGGTTTATGTTTCAATATACAAGTGGTGTGACGTTATTTTGATTGGGCTCAGGTTAACGTTTACATTAGACTAATTTCATTTATTGCTAGACCTAAATTTGCGGTCAGTAATAGCCTAACATATGTTTGAAGGGTCGACCTATAAATTAGATATATTCCCAAATCAGAATTCGAGTTAAAAATCTTGAAGCCGACTTATAACTAGCTCGAATTTTACATCGCAATTTACGGTATATATTCATCATTATTGGCACTGAATTCTTACCACAAGTAAGGTAGAACGTCTGGGTAAAATTCTACAGATTTTATGTGAAAAGAATTACGACTAACACTTTAAATGCCGGTTAGGTGTTAATGGCGAATACAATAATATGGGCCAAAAGGTTAACAAATGCGTTCCTTTCTTAGACGTGCTGTCATGGAGGAACACATTATTCCTATTAACGATTGCAGAGCATTTTCGACCAAATATTTACGGACATAGCTGCTGTACGTATAGATATACATTTAACGAGTAATTGCATGTCAAGTAATTTTAATGAATAATACTCGGACAATCCCACAAAATGCACACTAATATATGTTTCTATCAGCTTTTGTTGTTAGCTGTGGTGTTTTCTGCATGTCAGTCCACTGCGTTATACTGTAAACAATTTTGCATACAACACGTTTTCATCGCCTGATATAATAAGGAAAGTTTGCTAAGATATAGTCGACATTAAAAATGGTAGTAGTTTCTCGGTATTTAAGTCGGAATCGAGACGATGTATTTTTTCTCCTTGTTTTACATGAGAAATGGCGCCTCTAAAATCAGAAATTCAAACTCTAACGCAGTATCTTGCGCACCCCCCAAAGTAGGATCGGTGTAATATCGATGCCGGCGTGATAATGAGCAATTTATGGATTGACCTAAGGATGACCTACATTAAACAGAGCTCGTGTGAGATATATACCCCATTTAAATACTTCGGACTGTAACTCTCATCTTTATTGCCATATTCACGACGTTTCGGCCATTCGTTTCCATCCTTCGTTAGATATTTGTTGGATTTTTGAATTTGTTTTCTCCACAGGGATAGATTGTTCTAATTCTACCTGCCATGCCGTTTGATATCTCAGTTTCAGTTAATACTCCTTAATGAGTTATTGTTCACTCTGCCGTAGGCAGGTTTTGAACTCACAACTCTTTGGATCAATTCATTTTTGCATCAATTAAC